CCCCACAACGGTGGAAACAAGAAAATACCGCTCCGGAACGCTTGTATAAGAGCTCGGCATACATTTATCACATCCGTACCGGGTCGGTATCAATATTTATCGAGAAACAGCCGTGTGATGTCAGATGACATCACAGGACGTCGAATGCCTATCGCTGCTCACCAGTGCCTACCAGACAACGGCGCTCGTCCTATCATCTGCCTATTTAGTAGCTTTGGCCGGTGAAGTCCGTGAAGATGTGTTATCTACGTGCGATAAAGCTATCGTGAATATGGTCATAATTCGTGGATATCAGAGAGACGTCATAGGAAGACTCTCCCATCTCCAACTGCCGATAGCTGAACCTGAACGTTTCACTATGAAGGAAGTGTCTGATCATATTTCAGCGTCGTATCGTAAAATGTTGCTATGGTTAAAGGAGAAAACTGACTACAAAAGCAGCGTAATGAGTATGCCGGTAGGTCATGTCTAATTACTTCACTTTGAATGTGTGCCGACTGATCCAAGGGTCGCCCCACTTTAGTTTAAATACGGACTTGAAGTTCACGAATGTCTGTTGGCTTTGAACATCCATACCATGGTCTCAGAAGTCAGAGCCCACTGCTTGCCATCAGTCTTACTGATCGTCTTATAGCTTCATATCCACCCCATCGCCCATCCAATCAACCCCTCGACGCCGGAGCATTCCTCACCAGACCCACCAGACCTTCAAGACCCACCAGACCCACCAGCCAGCCAGCCGGCAGCTACATTTGTCTGGTTTATCGTGCGAACGACCCGAGGCAGACGCATCGCCAACTGACGCTCCTACCGTCGCGGGCGAGCGCGGCCGTTTATAAACAGTCATCCAGTGCCACCCCGGGAGCCAAGCCGTGCCCTCCACGCGCGCACTTCGCGGTGTAAACAGGCCATTACGAGACTCACTGGGATTGGAATTCGCTCACAGAGCTGATGAGATGGAAGGAACGGAGGGTGAAGGTGGGGAGATGAGACTGAGTAACGCTGATAGGGATGAGGAAAGAGTACCTAATCTAGAAGAGACTAGAGACTTATCTTGAAAGGGTAATCTTGTCACGGAGAGTGATGAGTCTGTATCTAGTTATGCATTGAAAATCCGTTCGAGTTCACAATGCCGGAGGGCAGCTTATTTCATTGAAGGTTGGTACTTTAAACGATGGGTGATCGGCGTGTAGCTATAGTTACCAAATACCTGCATGCATCATAACATACGCAAGCAAAAAATATAACGCGTCGCTTTTTGTATGATTCGCACGTTTCAACTTTAGAATACGCCAATCGTCAGCCCCAAGGATCATCGAGCCACATTATTTTGAGTTACAACATTCAGTTCACTATCCCCCGTTCCCGCCCCCGTGCCGCCGTCATGGTATAAGTGCAGCAAGTCACTCACCTGATGTGCATCATGGTATGGATGGAAGCCATGGTGCCCAGTCCGAACGTGAACCCGTTCAGCTGACAGAGCACCTCTCCGAACACCCAGCGGCCCTGTGTGAGCGTCACCAGCGCTACGGGCATGTTGACCAGCGCCGCCAGCACGTCCGTCACTGCCAGGTTCACCAGGAACAGGTTCGTCCGCGTCCGCATCGAGCGGAACCGGCACACGCTCAGAATTACCAGGATGTTGCCGGTGACGCTCACGATCATGAATACGACGATGATGATGCTCAGTGCGATGACGAACGGCGTCGGGTAGCGGTGGCTGATGTCGCCGATGGAGCCGTTGCCGTACAGCGAGCTGGAGCCGCTGCCGCTGGTGTTGTTTCCCATTGGGGACCCGCCGCTGCCGCTGCTCACAGAGCAGCAGCGGGGTAAACGCGCCTGTCTGCCTGTCCGCCTGGGTGTTTGTTTGTCTGCCTGTCTGTCTCCACGGATTGCCGTTTTTCTCCAATGCTGTCCGTCTGTCTATTTGTCTGTCTTCACTGGGTAGCGTTTCTTTCCACTTGTTCTGTATCACTCACGCAACTCACGGACACAGATCTGAAGTCGTAGACAGTAAAACTGCCACTGGAGGAAACGCTGACTGTCACACAGTCGGGCCAGGTGATACGCGTCCCACCTTTAGCGCACACCTCAGACTGACTGCCGACTCCGTCTGCCCAACCAACGGATATTGATATAGGGACAGGTGACACGGCACGTCCCTCGTCGCAGAGCACACCTCAGACTGACTGCCAGCTCAGTCCGACGATAGCGCCAGGTGACGCGGCACGCGCGTGCTCCTCGGCGGAGCGCACCTCAGACTGTCGGGACGTTCCGTCCGACCAGCCGACGGTCGTCGGTTCGTCGGCTGACCGGCCGGTCAGCAGATCTGCGTCCGACCGAGGGTGCTGCTCGCGTCGATGAACGAACACCTTTCGTCGGGCACAAAAGGTCCAGAGTCTGTTACAGAAAGCAGCTGAATTTGCTCGCTTCAAGGGTATCGCGAAGTAGCACAATCAACAAATTTAATAAAATCGCTTAAGTTTCACTTTCTTCTTGCGACGTCTATTCTAGAATGCCACCTCTTCGCCAGGTTTGTCATCAATTCACTCTTCTAAACTGTTAGCGACTGAGCTGTCGGGAGTGACAACGCCTGTCAACTATCTATCTGTATCGGTCCACCCTCCACCTTGCCACCTATCCACTATCCACCCTCCGATGTCCACGTGCTCTCTTCAACCTCTTCTGTCCACTCTATACCCTCGCGTGCTCCACATGAACGCCACACACCCCGCGTGGCAGCGGTCACCAGAAAGCCCACCGCCGGTTGGCTGATGAGGGCCCAGTGTTGACAGATTCCGCCGCTGTTGACAGATTCCCGTTTGGTTGTGACGTCACTGATAGTCACCGGCTGATAGGAGGGCCGCCCACCAATCAGGGATCGGCAGGCGGCACTGCGGCGCAGCCTACCTAACAGGAGACGGCGGGGCACAGGGGTGTCCCTGACAAAACCTCGGGGGTGTTCTATATACATAGACGGGCCCCGAGTCTGACCCAGGTGCGTCTCAGACAGAGCCCAGGGGTGTCTCGACAGAGACGACGCGTGTCCTAGATTATCCCCGGCCAAGTGTTTAGAACGGACCCCAAGTGGTATCCGAGAGAGACTAGAGGGATCCTAATGGACCCAAGGGTGTCCCCAAGACAAATTCCAGGACTCAAGGGTGATCCCTGGACAAGGTTCAGGGTGTCTAGGGGTCTGGGTCAGACAATTCGCCAGAGAGTCACCGTTTGGTCTGTGGACCGAGCATGATATCGCGTCGGTGCAGAGTGCAATGGGAGCTCTCGGCCAGCTCCAAAGGAGTACGGCGTGTGGGCCGTAAATTTCCTTATCGGTCCGAGCAGACTCGATTTCACGTGCTCATCGTACAATTGATCACTTCAGGGGCTTTTTGAAAAGTGACGTTAAATTTAATACCTTCCTATAGTGAAACTAAAAACTGACTGCAAAAAAACATTAGGACTTACCGCATTAAGGCATTATTTAATCATGCACGCTGATACTACAGCTGATGTTTGCTTCTTATGTATGTAAAAATAAAATTATCCATTTGGATAATTTTTATTACTGATTCCAATAGTGTCATTACCCCAAACAGCTTCATCGCTACAAAAAAGTTACCTCTGAGTTCAGCGGTGGCCACTATAAGCACTAAGAGCTGCACAACACTAAGAGAAGGTCTGTCATTGCCAAAAATCAGCAGAGTATTGTGGGATTGCGACGGAAGTGTTGACCACATGGATCCTCTCTCCTCTTACTCCCCGAATATAGCTCTGAGTTTACCGGTCTTCCCCGTTTCTCAGCAAACAACTCACTGGCGTTTCTCCAGAATACAATTCACAGTTCACATCACATTCACAAAGGCGTTCAGCAGACGCAGCCACATGCCTCAGCAGTACCATCACCAGACTTCACCAGCGGTGGATGACGGGGCCCAGTAAAACACCCATCCCATCCTCACCCTGTGACATTTCCGGTGCTTTCCGCGGCTCAGGCTGGCTCCTCAATCCCTGACAGCCGCGGCTCGTGTTCCCCGGCCGACCACCCACCCACCGCAGCAGCGCCGGGGCGTCGGGTAGGTACTGACGTGAGCGCCGCCAAAGCCCGGGGCTCGTTTGAGGATCGTACCTACAGCGGCACGTGGCTCCGACCCAGTGCCAAACTCGATTACTATCGCTTCATTTCGAAAAGCTTCTGTCGTTCCAGACACCACACGCTGACGGTTCTTTAGGTCAAACAGATGCTCGTTTTACAAACCGGAGTTGTTATATAACGGGCATATCGCATGCGACTGGGAAATTTTGCAATTAAATTATTCCGGGAGTCTGTTTCCATTTCCAGGCGTCGGGGAATCCCATTGCTGAGAATAGCTGCCCCCGAGGGTTTGCAGTCTGCACCCAGTCCCACTCACCTACGCGACTGATCATAGGCATGTTTACGTGAGCACTGACAGCTCATCGCCGCAGCCTGTGTCTGGCGAGCGTCACGACGCAGCCGGATCCTGCAGCGAGGCGGAAAGGCCGGCGTGCCTCAGTTAGTGGCGGATGTTGGAACTAGAGGGGAGGCAAAAGGTGCGAGTTTTTGGAATCGGGCTCGGAACAGACTGGACATTTCTAGAACCAGCCAGACCCAGTCTAGGTAAGAATCTCAATCGGAACCCAGTTAGACACGTGCGTTCCCCAAAAGAAAATGAATATAGACTACGTGTAGCATCACGTGCATCAAGTAAAAGTCTTCTTCCAACTGAGAATGCTTGTGAGCTGAGTGTGCAAAAACGTAACATGAGCTTTTTTCATTCACTTCATATTTCCTATAAGGTTTTATAAGTGTAATGTTCTATGGTAGGACCTGGTTGAACCCTTCATAAAAAACTTCCAGTTGGGTCGGTTCCTCGGGTCCACATTTTGCCACCCATTGGAACAGATTCGCATTTCGCACGGCCGTATGTCTACGAAGGGAGGGGATCTGAGGACTCGGCAGATTAAACACAGACGTCACTGCGTTGGTAAACGAGGTCCTGTATTGAAATTCAGCGTTAAAACGATTGAAAGTACATGATGACAATGAAAAACTGAGCGTTCCTACTACACTGAGATGAAAAAGTGCCTATATTCAACACACAATACACTGCTAATGTCTTGAATTACACTGGTAATTACACTTGATTGAGTTAAGGGTTCTAGACAGGCTCTAGAAGTAGACATATCACTTCCAATTAGCTTCGCAGTTGGTACTGATGAGCACAAACGACAGATTCGTAACATTTCCTTCGTCTTGGTCGGTAACGCCAAAGCAAACTGTCAGCCGATTCCCGACGTTTTCAAATTAGATCACTGGCTGGCCAGCCCGACTTCACAAGTTTTAAATAACTAAAGCGTTTTCGCACGTAAAACTCAACCGAAACGGGAGACTTCAGATTGACGCCCGCCCTCCCAAGCTCTCAACACAATTGGCAATCACTTTCCCGCCTCTCTCGTCCAAGCACCAATCTCCGACTATCCGCACCGGTCGCCATGCGACCGTGGGTCCTCAGTTCCCTGGGGTACCGTACCGCGCTACCTCACACGTACCCGGGGGGGGGGGGGGCGGCTGGTCCCGTCACATCCCCCCTGACGGTACCTGAATGATGAGCTGCACCTAACTGGACCGGCGCGAGAAGGCGATGCTGCGCTGATGAACACGGTCAACTGAAGTAACTCTGGTGGAGTTGTCCCGCGGTGACACCCTGAAGGGACGCCCTGCTGGCCGCCGATAACATAACCTGAGGGACGCAAACGGCATCGGTCAGTCTGAGTCCATCCTAACCGTCCATCCTAAGTCTCAATACGCTATGCGGCGCGCAGGACATATGCACCGACAGCGCTCAGAGGCGTAATCTCAGCACGTTGTGCTACAGACTACAGTGGGTGTCATGTGTAATGTGAGACACTGTACGCTGGAGTCTTGCGTCCGGTCATGTGAAGAAGGTCAACATCATAGGCGGCGGAACGGGGAGGGCACCGGGGCACCGTACCCCCCCCCCTTGATTTTGGCATTTTAACATTAGCCCTATGGGCGTTGCATGGAAAGAATGGGACCAAAAGTCGGCAGTGAAGGAAAGCGTACCCCCCCCCCCTTAATTGAAGGTGTTCCGCCGCTACTGGTCAACATCTCTTCTGCAGAGACGTTACCGACTTTTTTGAAAGTGATCGACAGGGAACAGAGAGCAGCCAGCACGGCCTAAACATCTCGGAATCCACCAATATTTCCAGAGCACCAGCAACAGATCCCAGAGGATCTCCGCAGCGCTATCGAAAGCGAGCTCGACTGGATTTTCCTCGGGCAGGAGGTGTCACTGGAAGGTGAAATGTCGCGACACCAAGGTAGTGCAAAGTTAAATGGACCAGCCACACCTGTTTCCACTCGATAATTTGAAACATGTGGCTCGATCAACAAAGACGTCCAACAAATTCCATTCATAGTGGTCATATCATAAACGCTAAATATGACTCACAAAATGAGAACTCGTTTAGCCACAACCCAACAGCGACCACCTGCTAATGCCGAGGTATGATATTATTGGCACATCAGCCGCCACTCACTTCATAACTGGTTATATCACCAGCCAATTACCACATTCTGAGTTTTTATGTCGACCATCTCACCCGAGATGGCTTCATAGATGGCCGCTTAGTGGGATTTAAACGACTCATTATAGCAGCAAAGGCTACTCACTCAGCCGCTCAATGATACAGGAAATTTCCTCACTATAGGGAGTTCCCCCACTAACTGAAAGCTGGAGAATACTGGGCTGGGCAGATAGCATCATCACATAATACCCCTAGCACGACTTATGTCAGTGAGAGAGACTGTGTTAGAGATGGAGTGGGGAGGGGTAGAGCAACGAGAGTCCCAACTGGGTCGCAATTGATGGGGACGGGTCCTGTCACTCGAGTGGAACCTCGTCACGCCACTGTTCGTGAGTCGCTCCGAGTTTCCGTCAGACAGACGACCGAGACGAGCAGTGTGTGGACAACAGAGGTGCCACCAGGTGTGGTTAAAGGGAACATGAATGGTATGATGTGGGAAATGAGTGTAACGTACGAGACCCGAAATTCAAAGAAGAAATGCTATCAATGAATCTCGAGGGTCTCAGAGAGGGTTTACATAGTTATGAGAAAAACGCGATTCGTCTTCAAATTTTATGTCAATATGCGACAAAAACGTCAAAGATTTGATTTGATTTTGCATGCTACATCCGCTTTTCCTTCAAACATCGCAATGCCCAAACTCTGGCAGGCTCATATGAGTCACATGACCTGCTTTTGTCAAGACGACCCTTCCAGATGACAGCCCATTGAGCGATGCGGCCGGTCCGGTATAAATTTTGTCGGGACAGTTCCCCTTCGTAATAAACATCAACTCAACCGGACCATGTCGTCAACTGTGACAGAGCGGCTACACAATAAACAGCCATCGCTCAGCGTCCTAACCTGCGGCCAGCAGACGTGAGACGGGCACTGGGCTCCATCTGAAACTTTTCACCGCGGCCGGCTGAGCCGCGGCTGAAATTCCGATAGATCAATCACCGTGACGACAGCGAGTTAAGACTTTGGACGGGAGCGTCTGCTCTTGGTTCATCAAAGCGTGACTTCAGTTCGTCGTTCAACGATATAAAACATAGTCATTCGCTTACATAAAACAGCAAAATGACGATCTGCATCATAGCCGATTCTGTTTCAGTCCTTAGAGTTCTCAGAAAATCGTTTGATATGTCAGTATCAGCTGTTATTGGGCGTCCATCTCGTTGGTGATTTTGAAAATAAAATCAACAAGAATCTCGCTCACACTATAATTCTAACTTCATTCCCCAGGAGTATCCCAGTTCTGGCATCCACGACTGTCTAGCGGGTCTCAACCCGATATGGATCCCGGGCCGTTCTTTTCGCGGCGCTTCATGTTCCGGCCCATTACCCCGGCTCCCAGGACGGGTCCAGCTGTCACCCCCGGGGACTCAGCCATTCGTAGCACCGACCCGGCGGCCGGGTCGCTCCTGGGATTTCAGTTTTCATCCGGTGATGGAACACTGAGCAGGGCGCCACGAGAACGGCAAAAGGGGCGCTGGTATTTTACCATTGGATATTTCTGGGAACTGAGGCTGCCGCATGCATAAGTTAGTGTGAATTAGTGTCACATTCCGACACTCAATGCTTCCTCTAATATGGTTGAGCATGGAGTCCATCTTAAGATTCTCATTAAAACAATTAACATAATAGTCCCAGGATTGAAAGAATTGCGCAAGCGGAAACTAAATGCCCTCGTTTATAAGTTAACTACTCTCATAATTATGCAGGACAGTCAATATCACAAGCCAGTAGAGACCATTCTTCCAGATATTTGAGACTAGCGACGCGAGAGCATCGCATCAGCACCACAAATTGCCTACACCCATGGCAACAGTGAACACATCCAATCCATGGGCACAGCGCATGGCGCTAAAACGAAGTAAGATAGTCCGGACCCGAGCTCGGGGTCGCCGTCGCGGGAGGTCTACCTCGATGACACGACCCACCAGCCGTTGGACAGGCGAGGTGCCGTCCCCGTGTCACCGCGCTGCTGACACGTGTCACCGAGTGTCACCTCGGCTGGTGTCAGCTCCCGCTGTCACCTCAGAGGGTGTCATCTGACGGTGCCCCGCGGCGCAGGCATGACTTGATAAACAATCGGGGATGGAAGAAAGACGTGGTGGCGACACAGAAATTAGCAGCGACAGTAATTGGCAGAGCAAATAATACGCTCATTCCGCTGTTAGAAACACGAACAGAAGTGAGTTCGAAGCACCTAGTCATTCTCGGTTGTTTTTGCACGCAAGTCTTCTGTCATACACTGCCGTACAATTCTTGATGAGTCTTTTGTACTCATTTCTAAAAACCACCACTCTGGAAGAATGAAATAAGCATCCAACGTATAATTACGTCCACCAGACACCTATCAGCGCCTCCATCTTCCTTCAGCGTCTGCCGCGGAGGACGGCTGCATATAAATGAACCGATCGACCGCCGGCCCCGACTAGTAATTGGGAGGCGGCGACAGGGTCGGTCGGTATGTCACCGACGACGACCCCTGCGACGGACGGAGCGGCCGTGAAATGGGTCTTCGGACCGTGAAGTGTCCGTCGATCAGTGGTGGCTGCCCACTTCATACCGCTCAGCGCCGATCGCCGTATGCTGTAGCCCGTCCACTGACGCGGTTATCTACCGTTACCACCTGTTTCCTACTGCCCACATATCCCGCACCTTTTAATTCCCATCGCCCGTCACCTACCGTCTACATCGCTCGTCATCTAACGCTTATCGCCCTTCATCTACGCCTATCGCCCTCGCCTATACCGCCTATCGTCTGCCCTCTATTACCAATATCGCTCGTCACCTACCGTCTATCGCCAGTCACCTACCGTCTATTGCCCAATGCCTACCACATATCGCCCACATCCTATTCCCCATTTCGCTCCTGCGAGTGCGTACCACATATCGCCCGCCTCCCACCGGGGCTATCGCCCATCGCCCACCCTCTACCGCCCCACACTTTGACCGCGGCCCGCTTACAGTGCAACCTCACATTAGTTGTCATATCAAGCGCAAGCGACTAGGTCTGCGAAATATTAAGGTGGATGCCGAGTGTCACGGGGTCTCTTTCATCACAATTACGGTCTGACCTTATGAGAGGTGCACTAAGTTAAATGTCATCATGAGATCAAGTACATTGGACGAGCTTTGTGGTGCATTTCAATCAGCTGATATGACGAGACTCGAGCCATCGTTTGACATTATGCGAACCGAAGTTACGACAGTGTTAATAAGGCAAGCTGATTAAGATTGATAGCGGGATATGTAATTTAACGGGTTCCAAAGCTGCTACTGGTATGACTTTGCTGGCATGCTAATATCTTTGACACGTGTCTCTTCAAAGCCAATATAACTTCCTAACTTTATCTACAACCATTTAGCAGCCCTATGCTCAATTACCATCAGTGAGAATAACTGTTCATGTCATTCCTAATATCATCCAGCCTGCAGCCCAAGCTGTTTTTTTAGAGTCATCTAAAAACGCAAAGGTGCATGCCACCAATCCGACCCAATAACGACCCTGAGAATTACCCCCGCCCGCGCCGCCCGGACCTGACACACACAACCCGACAGCGTTGTGCCTGGTGGAGCTGTTTCCCACCAGCTCGCCGCGTATCGAGCGACGAAGCTGCACGCCACTCGTATTGGCCAAACAGGCAAATTGGCTCTCCACTGCACGATTGTGAGGAACAAATCAGCGATACCTGACTCACAGTCGTAAGGCGCGTAGTTTATGTGCGCTGAAGGAGGCAAATGGTCCACTTCAAGCAGGTGGCAATGAGTTATTGGTAACGAGAGCTGCAATATTGCTGATCAATAATGCACTGTGTCGTCAAACCGCGGCAATATGTTGGAAATCCGCCGGAAACATTCAGCATACAAAGATTGGGAGAATAGCTTTTGCGTTTACTGCTAATGCACAAATTTATAACCCACATCCCAGCCTATAAATTTCGGAATACAGCTTTTTAACGTTTCCACGAATGAAAAGTATGGAGCACTGGTCGGTAATAAAAGCAAGAATGAAAAACAAGGCGTCTGTCCGCCTACTCACCTATGACGTGTTCTGCCGTCTCCTGTCTTCCCGTCCCGTCGCTTCACTGCCGGCGCCGTTTGGCCGCCGCCGGAGTCGCCGGCGGTCCGGCCGTCCGTCCCGCGGCCGGAGTTCGGCCCTGGCCGTCCACCACTACCCTCCCCGCCGGGCGCTGCTTCTTCCCCCGGCCTGCCCCCGCCGCGGCGCGCGGTGCGGGCCGCGCCGGGGTCGCCTTTGACGCTCCCGTCTGCCGCGCCGCTCCTGAGGTCTTCCCCTGGAGTGATACCCGCGCCCCTGCGACCGGGCGCGGCTTGAACAGCGGTACAATCCTGGCCGGGTGGGGAGAGGAGGGCATCCCTAGCGCGCGGCTACCGTCTCCTGTGTGGGAGACAGTGAAACCTGGGGAGGCAAGCTGTCCAGGTCTTGGAGAGCACGGCAGGAGTCCGGGGCGACTTCCGACTCCCGTCGGAGCGGAGATGGGACCCGCCGCCGGCCGAGGAGCAGCAGAGCTCCCGAGGCAGGCTGAGGCCCGAGGACGGCTGACCGGCTGGGGGTTGGGCAGAGGAGCGCCAGAGGGGGCAGTGGCCACCCGAGGGGAGGGTGGAAGGACACCCCCGCGCTTCGCTGCGGCCGGAACGGGGGTCTTGGTCGCAGCCGCGGATGGAGCTGGGGTCTTCGCAGCAGGTGACGGAGGCGGCGGATAACGGCTGACAGGGCTGGCAGAGAGAGGTGGAGCTAGGCCAGAACGCGGCTGCTGTAACTGCTGCTGCTTTGGCCTAGGCTGCTGCTGCGGCTGCTGCGGTCTCGGCTGTTGCTGTTGCTGTTGCTTTGGCTGCTGCTGCTTCGGGGGCTGCTGCTGCTGGCTCGGGGTCTGCTGCTGCTCCGGCGGTCTCGAGGGCCGTTTCTGCTGTCTATGTTGCTGCTGCTGCTGCTGCTGCGGTGTCGCCGGTGCCAAAGCACCAACTCTCGCCTGCGCCGCCGTCCCGGGCCTGCCGCCGTCCACCACTCTCGCCTGTGCCACCGTCCCGGGTCGTCCGCCCTCCACCGGCCCCGGTGCGGTCACCTGGCCGACCCTTCTGACGGCCGGCGGCGGCTGACGGCCGGACGGCTCGCTGGACACATTGGGCCGACAGTCCGACTGGAACTGTAAGCACAGGGCCGGTCAGTGATCCAGACGGGGTGAGGGAGCAGGCGGGAAACGCTAAATGTGCAGCTGAGTGGCACTGGTGACTGTGCAATATTTGTGGTAAATGATAAGCAGCACCCGATATATTTCCAGGATGAGAGGATTGCTGCGTAACGAACTGATGCGTTGCTTGTTGTTGGGGAAGTTATATCTATATTTGTTTATGCTTTTTGAGAAATAAGTGCACAAAACAACGTCCATCAATGTGATTTTTCATTGGTATGTAACCGTAACGACCAACTGGAATGCAAATGCATTAGAATTCCTGCCGTGCATGCATGCCTGAATCGAATTTGTCAACGCTCTTGCTGCCTTGACGGCACCAGTCTGCGTCGCCATATCGCATTCACACAATATAACGACCTATCACCACATTCCGTCGACCATTCACATCGGTACAAAGCCGAACATTGAGCACACCTGCACACGTCGTGTACACGGTCACACTACGACAGCCCCGCCTGCCTTTCCACAGGAGGTGGAGCGTGGTGACTGAGCTCATTGATCGGCACGGGGAAGATCAAACAGTTCGGTCTGCACAGGTGGTGAGGAATGGCAGATTGGGAGGGGTTGGGGCATGGAGCTGTCAGCAGGTTTGAGAGACACGCCTGGTTGGTTTATCAGGTTGTGTAAGTCTCCGAGTGAATTATTATTAAGATTATTAACAATTCCCTCTAATAAAGATTGTTGATGCACATTTTACTACAAGAATAGTTACTGCACTCGTGGGCGGCACACGATTCGGCGATTCGGAGGACAGAGGGTCACTGGCAGACTCTCGAGTACACCGCGTATCCCCCCCCCCCTTTACGTCGTACCGTGGGTGCGGGCTGCAGCTGGACGGTCAGGTAGGACGGAGTGCCAGAGAAGGACAGCGGCTGACTCCCCCCCCCCCCCCCCCCCGTATATCGTACCGTGGGTGCCGGTTGTAGCTGCACAGTCAGGTAGGACGGAGTGCCGGAGAAGGACAGCGGCTGGCCACACACCGACCCGACCTTGACGTGCAGGTCCCTCAGCAGGGCGGTCAGGATAGGACGCGGAGCCGGCCGGGCCAGGAACACTGGAGAACCTGGGAGGAGAGGGGTCACAGGGCGGTCAGGATGGGACGCGGCGCGGGGCGGGACAGGAACACTAAAGAGCCTGAGAGAGGGGAGGGTTCTATATCGAGCATGGATTGAGAGATTCGAAGATCACAAAAATCTGAATTCACATAACGAAAGTATTGTTAAGCTGATTCCTAAACCAGGCGTACCAAAGGATTCGCCTAAAGGCTGGAGACCTATCTCGCTACTAAATGTAGATTTCAAAATTATATCGGCGGCAATAGCTAAAAGATTAAAAGCTGTGATACACAAACTCGTTTCACCCTCTCAAACCGCATATATTCCGGGACGTTTCATTGGGGAAAACAGTAGGCTGCTGTACGATGTTATTGAGCGCTTGAACAGTCAGGATGGGTCGGGGATTGTGATGGGGGTGGACTTTGAGGCAGCCTTTGATACAGTTTCCTGGGAATTCCTGTCAAACACGCTTGAGATTTATAATTTTGGTCATTATTTTCGAAAGCTCGTCAATGTGCTTTTTCTTAACCGAGATCTAAACTCACGTATCCTTCTAGATGGCAATCTTGGTGCAAAAATATTCATGCAAAGAGGCATTAGACAAGGTGACCCTATATCCGGCTATCTGTTTAATCTTATCATGGAACCTCTCGCGTATCAATTGAATACCTCTCCTTGTATAAGAGGCATCGATATATCCGATAGAACGGAAGTCCGATTATCACAGTATGCCGACGACCTCATTGTATTCTCAAGCGATAACATCTGTTCCATTAAAGGCATACTACATGAGCTTAATAATTACTCAAAGATAAGTGGATTAAAAGTCAATTTGCAAAAAACAAAATGTCTCCCTATAGGCCAGGTGCAGACTGACACCCTTGTGGAACTAGGTCTGAGCGTCGTTAGTGAGATGAAGATTCTTGGGATAGTGTATAACAAAAATAATGACAATATAACGTCTAACAATATCAGAACGATCATACCGAGGATAAAACAAGAGATAGCGCAATGGCGTAGAAGGCACCTAACGTTAATTGGAAAAATAACCGTTATTAAATCTCTTTTAGTCCCAAAACTAGTTCATTTATTGACATCACTACCAAACCTTGAGGAAGAGACCATTAAAGAGGTAGAGAACATACTATACCGCTTTCTGTGGAACAATGGCCCGGATAAAGTAAAACGTGCGCTAATAACAAAAGAATTTAGCGGGGGTGGCCTTAAAATGATAGATATTCGTTCCTTCATGACAAGTTTAAAAGTATCCTGGCTTAAAAGATTATACTGGGCACCTAAAGACGTTGGGTGGGCAATTATTGCACAGGATACAATTCCACCACTAGAAAACCTGGTCTGCTTCGGGTCAGTGAAATTAAGAATGGAGGCCAAAAAGGTAAAGAACAGGTTTTGGGAAGAAGTAATTCGCGGATGGTCGAGTTTCTGCACTGCATATAAACCTGACAACGATGAAATACTCGCGGACTTCATATGGTTTTCCGACAGCACAAAATACAAAAAGTCTATCGTTAAAGAATGGAACGAAAAAGGCCTTCGATTTATATCAGACCTGTTCAATCCTTTTGATGGCTCGCTACTGAGCAGAGAGCAGCTTGCAGCTACATATAAAATCAAAATGACATTTTTGTGCTATACCTCCATAATAAGAAGCCTGGCATTTGATACTTCCCCCAATGTAGCATGCATAGCTAAACACATATGGTATCCTATTCAACCTTTTAAAATCAAGCTTCTCTCACAAAACCTGCATCTTTCCAAAGTGGTATATAAAACCTTAGTAACAGGAATTAAAGTAAATCGCGATTCACACATATCTAAAATAAGTTGTAAGTGGATTCGAGATGTTGGTTCTATGCATAATGGAACTTTTTGCGATGTGCAATCGTCTACAAACAACACATATCTTCAAGCACTTCATTATCGAATTATTAACCGCATTGTTGCGACTAAAACTTTTCTCTGCCGAATCGGAAAAACAGAAACTGCTGCGTGCGACCTTTGTGGTAACGACGATACATTGTTTCACGCTCTGTATACATGCAACATAATTCAAAACTTTATACTTAATTTAAAATCACATGTTCAAAGTCATTATAATATCAACTTAATAACAACATCTGAAAGCTGGATATTTCCTTGTCGTGACAAGGAAACAAACATTGAAATACTCATCAAATTGGTAGCAAAACACACAATAATGCGCTCCAAAAATAAGAACCGTCCCCCTAGTAACCCTTTGTTTACGTCCCTGCTCCGGGCAGAAGCCATGAAAGAAAAAGAGGCGGCTAAAAACTCTAGGCAATTTGAAAAATTCGAAAACAAATGGGGGAATGTTATAAATATTCTACAAAACATAGGCACCGATTGAAATGTGATGGCCGCCGCCGTCACCGCCGCCGTCGTCGCCATCCCGGTCGCTGCTGTCGGGGGGACCTGGGCTGCCCGCCCTCGCCGCCTCCGGAGAATGGCTGCCGCTGCCTGGCTGCTCGGCCTGCGCTGCCGTCGGCCGCGTTAGTCGGCTTCCCGCGTCGCCGCGGTGGCCGTGTTGGTGGCCGTCCCCTGGTGGAGCTGGTCCGGCTGCTGTGCGCTGATGTGCGTTCTGACATTTGTAACCGGGACGGACGCCGGCACCGATACCCGAGTGGTGTCATACCTGTCAGCTGACGCGTCGCGCGTCCGTCTCGCGGTGGGTGGGTGGGGCCCCCACCGTGGGGGAGGGGGCTGTCGACGAGATGAGCTGAACTCCGCTCTTAATGCGATGTTACAATGCGTCGTGCGTCAACTCCGTGCTCCGTGCCCGCGCCCCGTGAGAGCCGGGCTGTGGAGGCCGCCGGCGGGCGGGCCACGCTTTGAGCGCTGCCGACGACGGGCCATCTGTACGTAAATGTCTCCGCGGCCTCTGTATTCGGTTGGTGGTGGGTGACGACCGCTGGCATGCCGGAAGGGCTTGTGGTTCAGAATGGTGGTAATGATCTAGTTGATATGCTATTTATGCAGTTTCATGTGCTCTTTACTGCATCTTTTGTGGGCGGATCGCGGAAGAGTGGAAGTGTGATAGATGACTGGACTGTGGCAGTAATGCTGTTTATTTGACAATAAATGCACTATTTAAAAAAAAAAAAAAGAGAGAGAGAGGGGAGGGGGGTCACAGGGCGAGAGCAACTGGGAAGGACCGGTAATAGGCCCAGTTGAGGGTCAGACGATATGGGACAATTCACGGGCCTCACTTGTTCTAGTCCTTTTACGATCACAGGTCGGGACACACGGTCGCTCACACGAATCACACAACTCACTTCAGAGTACCAAATTGTGGATTGATATCCGTCGCATGCAGACCCCCGAGGCCCGAGTATTCAGCGCTATATCGTGAGTTTATTTCACGGAGTTGCAGGCAGAAAACGGTAAAGCTTCACGGCTATAGATCGCAGCATCTCCCGTTGTTCGGACTGAACGACACTAATATACCCTTCTCTATTGTATCGTAAGTTTATTGATTCCCTCACCTTTTCGCAGGCAGCACATCCTATCTAAAATCACAATGCTCCGCACATCCTATCACCGTCTCTCAGACAGACATGCGAGTTATATCTATCGTTTACCGCGATATCTCCCACCGTACCCTGATAGTATGACATTCCGCAGACCCACAGCTGCACCGGTTCTCAGACAAACACGCGAGGTATATTCACCGTTTGGCGTTTACCATAGACTCTCCCGTGTTATCCTGTTATATTCCATGCAGACAGCACAGTGCCATGCCAGCCCTCACCGTTTCGCAGACGGACCGGCCGTGCCGTGTTGTACTTACGCTGCACCCCCCCCCCCCCCTTCCTCACCGTTTCGCAGACAGAGTGGCCGTGCTGTACTTACGCTCCTCCCTCCCCTCCTCACCGTTTCGCAGACAGAGTGGCGGGTATGTGAATAGTTGCGGGCCCACCAGCCGGAAGTTAACGTTGACGTAGTGAGCGGGTTCCTCCTCCGGCAGACGGTAACCGTACTGAAACCAGAAAACATTTCCAGAGCGGCTGACGGGGCTTCTTACAGAGACAGAAAATGATTAACATAGCCGGACACGAATTATATACCACAACTGATCAGCAGGCAACAACGTTTGCTAAATAGGTACAAGTTCTAACTCCGGCAATATCGACTTAAGCTGCTTAAACCAAAATGGTTATGTAACCGTAAATTGTCTAGAATAAATAAACTCGGCCCAATTCATGAGCAATCGTTGGTAAAATAAACTGAACAGATGTCTCTGGATTCCTCAAAAATACTCAAAACTGGCTAAAACTCGTACCATTCGACCTCGTCTTACGGTCTCGACAATCGCTGGTATATAAACATGGGCAGTCGAGACTCGGCACATGCCCCACTCACCATGTTTTTCCAGTGCCGCTTCAGGTCCCTGTAGGTGGCGAACGGTCCGGAGAGGGGCAGGTGGCGGGTCACGGTGGCCACCTGACCTTTGGTCATCCTGTCAACGCACACAGAGATAAGCGGGGTCAGAGCTTGGAGCGCAGAGAAGCTGGAGCGCGATATGAGAGCTAAGAGAGGACATGCTTTATTCAAGCCGTTAGAAGCGCACACTAGGTTCTGGGCGATGTGCATGCTCGATGAAGCTGTCGGTAAACGTTAAAATCCTTAAAGGGACTATCCCACCTTCTAAAATGTTGTTAAAACCAGCTAAATTGTGCCCGAATTTATAGATTGGATGACCAGGAACACGGTTCTGGCATTTATTTTTCATTAAACATCTTAGGCTTCCCATATTCCAAACACAAACTTTCAAATATGTGACGTCACAGCCCAAAATTACCTCCTTCCCCAGGCCACATTACTGTCATAAAACTGATTCTTTTTACTCTGTAGGCACCACAACAAAGTTCAGACCAAGTTCAAAGCGATTTTTCAACGACGAAACCCATTTAAATCAGAATGACTAAACGAGGTGACTTCACACTAACGGTCGCTCCATGTTGAAGATAGGGCCTTGTACAAGGCCCATTTTCAAATGAAGGGAACGAATTTCTTCAACACCAAGAGGCCGCGGGGGTTGCAACCTAGATAGATAGTGGTTTCTGAACCTCGCCGCAAACTTGGCTATCTCAACTCAAACCCCATGTTAAAGGTGGGATAGTCCCTTTAATTCATTTTCTGGTTTCGAAATAGATAAAACATTCATCAGTGATGTTTCTGTGGGACATTTCTAATTGACTTGCGACGTTATAATTGGCAGATGAGCCGTGAACGAACTTTGACCAAAACAATATCCTAGTTCCCAGAGAAAAGTCATTCGTCTGTGAACCCATAAATCCGTCCTCACTTTCCATGATCAACCAGTTTCATAAGCAGCTCCGTGATAAATAAACGGAGCAGTTCCACCTCAGCGCTGCTGTCAGCCTGGCCACTAATCTCCCCCCTCCCCTTCCCTATCGCTCCAGCACCTCACACCCCCTCCGAGCCACCGCCGGCGGAGGGCGGCCGCCGGGGGCGGGTCGCTCGGGTCATATTTCGCCACCGCCGTCCCAGACGCCGCCGCTACCCTCTGGGCGCCGTCTACCCGTCCACGTGCCGCCGACAGGCCGACGGGAGGCACGGGGCGCTATGGGGCATATTGCTGCGGGCGGGCAGGCGGCGCCGGTTGCCGGAGTTAGATGAGCCGTCGGATGAGATCGGCTCGGAGCGGGGCGAGGAGCGAGCTGGGGCTGAACACTGATCAACGCCCATGGCAGCGGGCTGGCTAGATTTATGGTGGGGAGGGGCGGGAACACGAAATGGGAGGACGAAAGGGGAGGGTTAGAAGGTCGTGGCAAGGTCACGGCTCGGTAAGGAGTGAAACAAAGTCGGAAAAGATGGAGTGAGATTGGCGATTGGACACGACAAGGTCAGAATGGGGAGGAGACGAAAGGGACGGGCATAAGAAGGGGCAGGATAAAACAGGGACGGACGTTTGACTGCTATTGGTAGGGGACGGGACACAGTCGAGAAATGTGGGATGAAGTCGGTAAAGATGGACACTGGACAGGGGCAGGACAATGTCAAAATGGGGCGGAATATAACAATAGTTGTCGGGAAAAGACGGAAACAAATGAAGAGATAAAGAGTACAATGACGAGATGCAGTTGTCAATGGAAGGACGAGAGGTGAATTTGGGAGCCGATGTGCCATGAATCCGTAGCAGAGCGCCAAGCGAGCGGGGTAGAAGACATCTCTCCGCCCCCCTCCCCCCCCCCCTCGAAGCTCAGTCGGTAAATGGGCGTGGTCCGACAGTGCTGAGACGGATGGGGCGTGGAGGGCCCATCTGTCTGTGACGCACCGCCGGACCCGGCGCCCCGACACGACCCGAGAGTAACGACTGGTTGGGTGCCAATTCAGCGGGCGTGAGGAGCCGCTAGCGTGACCGCTGGGTGTCGGCGGTCACACTGCACGCCACCCATATTGATATCGATGAAGGATGACAAAGTGGAGACGGTGGGACCTCGCCGAGTGCTCGCCATTAGCTCGGCGCAATAAAATACGGTCATCGAAACGGGGTCACCACATAAGCCATCCACCATCCGCCGAACTGGACACCTAATGAAAGCTGTTGATTTATGGCAGTCATTTGATGATCGCGGTGGTCACCGCTAACAGTTGTACACTCTTTTGTTAAAACGAATGGCGCGACATTCTAGAGGGACGCATAAATGGGGTGAATGAAAGGCGATGATTACATGTGGTCGGGTTGTAAATATAATGGCCAGCCCTATAGCTTTTCAGTCCAGAGTGTGTACCGGGAACTCGCCAGGCCAGCCGCTCAATACTCGCGGAGTGCATTCTTATGGCATTCAAAAGAAGTCAGCCACCGACAGCCTCGTACCCCGACGAGTAATTTGGATGCCCCACCAGTCACAGTGCCCTGTCAGGCTGTCATCCCCTCACCTGGGCAGTATGTGACACCAGCGGCCGGTCATCTGACTCTCGCTGATGACGTCAGTAAGGCGGGCGTTGAAGTCGACCAGCGCCACCGGCGAGGCCCCGAGGTCGGAGAGTCTCAGCGGCGGCAGGCGCACCACACACGCCTGGGCGCTCAGACACACGTCCTCCTCTGAGGGACGGGGAAGAGGTCGAGAGGGGTTGAACTTTGCAGGACGCGGGTTACGGAGCAGAGTGAAACGGTTAGGGTGGCGGCAGGGAGGTGGAAGGGGGGGGGGAGTCTTGCCGATTAGTTTCGGTGAAGGTTTTCGAGACTTGAACGATTTCGAGAGGAATATTTAAGGTAAGACTGCGGGGCCAGTTTCTTCGATGCAAAGTTATGTAACAGAGCTATAATAAAACGTCTTCGGAGAAGTGACTAATAGGTAACGGATCACGCATGTTGACGGTATATCTCCTGGACAGTTGCATGTGTCAACTGACGGCTATATGCAGTGAACCGTGATGGTACGACCGTCACCAGTGCGGGTATTAGTGCAGGGTTAGCCCAGGAGCGACCCGTGCCGACAGGGAGTATCTGGCACGTGTTCCATAATCCACAAGTGACTGTCAGCGTCGAAATATGAGTGATGAATGAATAACCTCTGTAGGTATGGCCTATGGTGAGCTTTGACCTATGACCTACCGTTGAGCTGTGACCTGATCTGACCTGTGACATGCCGCTGACCTATGGCAGTGACCTGCAACCTGCCACAGCTGATCTGTGACAATGACCTATGGCGGTGACCTGTGACCTGCCACTGACCTGTGACATTGACCTGCAGCCGCACCCCGTTGACGGGCCCGGTGACCTGGAGGAAGTCGCGTCCCTGCAGCAGCAGCTCACCGACCACGTTCCACTGGGGCGCCAGCTTGGCCTGCAGTGTGTACCGCAGGCAGCAGGCAAAGTCGTCCGGCCCGGCCGGCCGCTCACCCAGCACCTGCAGAACACAGACACACACGGCGCCCGGCGCCGTCAGTGGTGGTCCGACGGCATCAGGGACAATGTGCTGGGAATGGGATAGAGGGTCAAGAACGTAAAACTGCAGATGAATGAAACATTTATGAAACTTGGCTAGACAGCAGCATACAATATGCATCATAAAGACGTACATAATTTGACTTGCATATGCAAGTACATTCAACTGATGTCGCTTTTTCAAATCGTGTTATGTTAGATGCATCAAGTTATTTGGTTAAAGCGATCCACCTATAAGCAAAAAACCGAATGAGAACAATAAACAGAACTGGACCCGTGTACCGTTAGGACTGCCAGTGACGGCTTCATATTAGCTAACCAGAACCTCGCAGACTAGGTATTGAGATAACACAGATACTGAGACAAATGCGATACCATCTCAGTATCCACTGATACGAGACAAACATACAGCCGCGCCTACCCTGGCCCTCATCTCTGCCAGCGTCGGGAACAGGCTGAACGCGCGCGGCACCACCACCAGAACCGCCTCTGCATCGTCCGAGGGAGAGGCCAGCACCACCGGGCACCGGAAAATCAGCTCCCTGGGAACGACAGGGGCCAGTATGTCCAAAATTGTAATGTTGCGGGGAAATTCACCCATAATCAAAAGTAAAATGACATCCTAAAATATAAATAATAACATCTTTACGACTTAAAACAACAATGATCTGAGCCAAAATGTTCAAATATATGACCAGACTTTAACAGTTCGTCTTTATCATCCCGATTCCCAAACATCAGAAAGCTTTTAAAGTTTTATCGGTGTTTAATATTTCTATCTACGACTACATCTTTTTCTAGTTATACCTGTAAAAACAGCACCTAAAATGCCATGATAGTCAAGTTTTGTGAAAACAATGACATCCTCTACAGGTTCTTTTCTACATCCTCCCCCTAACGCAAAATGAATTTAGCCACACTGACAAGGGCGGGTGTGTCATTTGTATAGCAATGGGAGGGACGTGGATCTAGTAAGTGACGACATTAAATATAATTGGGCATTCCATCGCGACAATGACAAGCCATTACTCCGCATAGGCATCCAATATTACTTTACTAGCATATGCATCCAGTGCTTTGCAAGCTACACTGAATTGAATAGAGGGAAACGCAACGCTCGGCCAGGAACTTCACAAAATGCTTCGTACACCGGACGGAACAGTCATTATAAACGCTCAAACGTACACACAATACTGCATTTGGAAATTGAATAACGCGTAAAACAAGGGTCTACACTCTACAAGTCTACATATACGTATAGCTACTGACCCCGACTACCCTCCGACTACTGCCCAGCACACAAACCGAGCGCGGAGCCGCAGACCGTCGCTGCCCGAGCCCCGAGCCGTCCCTACTCCCTACCTACACCTGAGCACCTGTTTGCCCGGTGCCTCGTCTCCCGGCTTCTCGAATAGGACCAGCAGCGCGGTCAGGTTATGTAGCCGCGGACTGCCGGCGAAAAACTGCACCGGCACGCACTGCTGACCGCCCGGCATCTGTGCGCGCTGTGCTGATGTGGGTAGCGGCTGAAAACTGCACCACTATGTCACCCGTAACCTGAAAAGTGATATTCATTCAGGTTCCCTCTGCAACGCAACGAGCCTCACTGTAACACTTAAATTATTTTGGATCATAATTTCAAATAGTAATGAAAATTTATTGCGAACCACTAGTCCAACGCAACCAACGCTCGCTATCCCTTCACGCGCCAGCTCTCCCCCGCTCCCCCCCCCCTCTCGGCTCCACCTCGAACATGAGACACGGCCAATGAGACACCGGCAACAATTCCACTGAATCCAACTGAATTGCTCCGTGCCGCACGCAGGAACAGGATCCAGGATCAGATCATCAGGAAGTGCTAGTCTAGTCCAACAAGTCTTTATGCAGATCGATCGCACAATTCAGATAATCAAAACTATATGAACGCTGAACGGATCTGAGGGAATCCGATCCGTTTAGATTTATTAATTCAAATTAAAGTCTGGCGTTACGAATATGAAATATCCAAATAAGTTTATTTCTATGCAAATAAGATTCCACAATTTGAGTTTGGATGCTAGTCTCAGTCTCCGTATTATTAAAATTTCGTGCAACAAGGAAAGAGCAAAGTTCCAATCAAAGTATTATGGCGATTGGCAGCCCACAGCCATTGAAGACCATGCACCCTGACTCGACCCCTGACTAAATAAAACACAAATATAACTAATTTTACCAACCATTACCAAACATAGTAAAGTAATCTTGCCAAACATACACATTTCGAAAGTTTCAAGGTCATAAGCCAGCTAGCAGAAGCGTTCCCAAGTTTATAAATAATTCATTTTTCTTTATCTTTTCTACTGATTTTGCAAACACTGTTTTGACTTTCATCACATATTCATTCAATTAACTTTAATTATTCCATTTACTATTTTGAAATCAAAATTTGCCATTAATAACGGTCAATTTACATATTTGCTTTATTGAGAAATAAAGCATTGTATTTTGCGGCACTTTCAGCGCAGCTGGGACAGTTAAAACTTTCCAATTTCGTAAGGGGAATAATTTTTTACATACCTATTTATAGTTCAGTCTGCATTTAAAATAGTTTACTTGGCACTATTCTTAAATCAGCAGTATATTGAGTCATTTGGCACTATTTCGAGTTTATTTGCACTATTTTCATACTGTAGCTGTTGCCAGATCGGCTACTAGTAGTCTCAGAGCTATATGGTTCCTATGGCACTATTTTAAGTACTTTTGCACTACTGTTGGCACATAACTACGATTTTGGATCGTGTTGTCGTAAAATCTTGAATCTTGTGGGGGTTCTAATGAGTTCAATTATCACCAGAGGCAGAGGGCGCCTTCAAACGGTGGGTGGGCGCCGTCGCTTCGCAAACGGACATTTTTTCTGGCTAGGGGGGTGTACCGCCACCTATCAATCATCAGACAGGTTGGACAGGCTACACCGTACCCATATGAACTGGGTTATGATTCCGTATCTCTTGCGGCGCAATGAACCTGCACTACTTTCCGGAGTTATACATTACATATCGAATTAGTTATTCAATGCGTAAAAACGTGCACACATTTTACGTAATGTATTTATAACGACCTTTCTAGGTTGTTGCACACACCAAAACGCCCACAGTGTACATAAGTCAGAACACCACGTATTTCACGAACGGCGATAGCTCACAGCTCGTACCAGAGTACATAGGTTCACCCCGCTCGTCTACGCTCGCCATGTCCAGTTTGACGAACGCCTAATTAGTATGAACTTTCTGAATTGTTGCACACATCAATACGCCCACAGAGTGAAGATCAGCACGTGTTTCACGCACGGCGATAGTTCATTCTCACAGCTCATACCCGAGTATATTGGCATTAGCTCATACCGCTCGTCTAAGCTCGTTATGTCCAGTTAGACACACGCCCAACTAGTCCTGGCGCACCAGAGCTGGTCTCGTTGCAGTGGGCCGACCCCGCTTACGCTTTTGTCCGATGACTGCGTGCTTAGCAACATCGGGGATGGTGATGGTGCCCTTCCAAACGCCGACCGTGATTGCGTGCTTGCAGACCCGCTGCTTCATGCCGACCGGACAGCTGCAGGTGGCCATCTGGCCATTTTCGCCCGCCTTAACCGCCCAGACGGCGAAACGCTGCTCCGCGTACTGCTCGAAGCTCTCACACGAGTCCATTGCCTGGATGTACGCACTCAGCTCTTCCACCGTTAGACCCTTTTTGCTGCCGGCTGGAAGAAACATCGTGCGGCCGTCGTCCAAGTAGAGCGGCTCCTTGCCCTCTTGCATGTACATCCATGCGTCTCGGTAGTGCCGAGTTGACACGCTGGGCTCCTCGTGGAATGGTCGCCGATCAGTTGTGTCAAGTGACCACTCTTTGATCATGTGATCGCAAGTGCTGAGGAATTGACCCACCGGTAGTCGTTCTCTACAGGTGTAGCTCTTAATCACGTTATTGAAGGCCTCTAGCCCATTGTTTGTGGATGGCGATTCCACGTCAATGCCTTCATACCATGAAGAGTTCTTTTCTAGCCACTGCTTCTGGAAATGTTTCCGGAAATCCGACTCTGGCCACTGACGCTCCCACTTGGCCAACATGGCCACGCTCGCTCGACTGAACTCTTCCTCACTCTGTGCCAGCTGAAGAACCGATATGTCCTCCAGGCAAGCTTTTTTCATGGCACTTTGCCTCCTCAGATAGCTTTCGACGTTCTTTCTAACGTGAAACCAACACACACGGCGCAACGCTCTGGGAAAGACAGCCTCTACCGCCAAAGTGATGGCCTCAGCGGCATCAGCCACGATCACCCTGGGCTCAAATGGCTCTCCCGACACAGCCTCTATCGCCTGCTTCATAGCACGCAGAACCATTTCGTAGTCGTCTTTCGTTTCGCCAGAGGACACAGCGAAAGCCACTGGCGTCACATGCCGGTCCGCGTCGGACACGCTCGCCACGATGGCCGGAAAACCCTGCCACGTTAGTTTGTAGGTCGCGTCGGTGTGTACCACTTTCGCGCCAGTCGCGACACGCTGCAATGCCTTTGTGCTCATTACCACACACACACGCCCGAGGGCAGCGTCCACAAGATGCTTAACGACGTACACCTCGTGCTCATCGCTGGGTGGGGCACTTCGCTGCTCGCACCACTCCGAGATGTCATGGTACGTCACTGAAGGTGGTCCATGTTCCTTTTCGCGCTTACGCTTAAGAAAGTTGTCAATCTGTGTCTTGTTGGCCGTGCTGATGCCTCTACTCCTCAGTATGTTGTATAATTGCAGAGGCTTCCGTACTCCATCACGGTAGAGATCGTTGATTGCCTGGAAAGGGAAAGAATGAGCGTAAGATTATCAAAATGGCAGCACCTACTTGACACGAATACATGGTGGCCATGGACACTGTCGAATTGTTGTCAAAACATTTCCATGTTGCATTTGCACTTGTAGTTAACAGGGGTATGACTTATGTTCGCTTAACCCGGCAGGCGGTGGGGGGTCATTTTTTGCCCACTTTAGCTTTTCTGCAATAACTCTCTGAAACGCGTCGCGATAGCGACGCGAAATTTAGTATAGCTTGAAATGAATACCTAGTGCACATGTGTGCAAATTTTTATATTTGTGCAAGGTCAGGTCAGGTCAAAGTGACGTCACAAAGTTTAGTCGGTTGTCGGTTAACGAACTTTCGAACGCCACCTGTTGGGTCTCGCTACGTAGCTCAGCTAACGGGTTGAGTTAGATGGGTAACGTTCATCATACACCGGCCGGTATATACGGCCTTGCCCCGGCCCGGCGAGGGTGGCGCCGAGCACCGGCCCGGCGCCGGTTAATCGGGGATAGAGGGTAAAGTACAAACATATACAAATAGACAAAAGGCATACACAAAACACATATCGACACCTTTTTTTAAACCCCACAATTGTTCTCCGGTGAATTTCAGACAAGTTGGTTAGAGACCTTCAAAAAAGGTACAATCACTCGATTTTTCTCAAGTTTGTCTGTCTTGGCAGATAAAGCAATACCAGAACAGGCCTACGAACACACATATTTGATCAGGATCGGACGATTGGACACTTTTAAAAAGGAGATCTTTCGTGCCTCCCGGAAATTCACGGGAGAGCAGATGTGGGGTTAAAAAGGTGTCGATATAGCCCCTCAACTTCTTGCCAATGACTACCTCCCCCCCCCCATTGCATTCATATGGCACTATTCGGTAGTCAGAAAAGGACGCAATAATGCAATGCTTGGACTACGGGCACCACCGCGGGTGGAAGATTGGTGGTGGTGGTGGGGGAGGAAGAAGGGGCATTCAGCACATTCAGGACAGGGACTATCAGGAGTCAATTCCTTGCAGCCAATGCCCATACGAGTAATGTTAAAATTAGGAAGTTTGGGGGACGCATCAGTCATCGGGACACCCTCCGGCAGGAAACCCATAACATGGACCCCATATATGGAGCAAAGCAAAGCAAGAGCCCTCTGCCCAGCAAATACATACATAATGGGTATTGGGTATTTGATATTGTATAATCATGCAGTCTGAGTGAGGACGATGAAAGTTTGGGGCCTTGGGCACATGGTACGTTGCCCCATCTTAATTTATAACTTCCTGGTTTCCTGCACACACATGCATATGTACACACACACACAACTCCTATTGGCCAGCTCACCTCCTTTGCCTCTGAAGACAGGCCCCAAGAAGCAGGTGCTTGATGGGTGTGTTCATTAGCGGCACGTGACACAGTTACATTCGTGTTTCTGGCGTGGTACAGTGCGCTTATTTCTGCCTTGCAGTCACGGTGACGGCATCGGTAAATTCGCTTCATACCTTCAGATGAGGGATTTTCTTTTTTCTTAGTCCACCGCTGCTGGTGATCAGACTCCTCTGTGAAGATAAGTAAGAAGATTTGTTAATGTGATCGGTGATCCCAGGCATTTGAAATTTTTTAAAGGGGGTATAAAATAAATCAATTTCCTAGTGCACTGTTACAAAATAATAACAGACAAGGGGAAGCACTTTGTGACATGCTACCACAAGTGTCTGGTTTTCAGGGATGTTAAATTTATCTTTTAAGGGTTATTAGGATTATGATTATATGAGGATAAAGATATGAGTTATATTTATTACAAAATATTTTGTTGAAACTTTGCAAAATCATCATTAGCACATCAGTATTGGTAGAGCAGACGTCACACGAAGGTTTTGTCGGTTTTCCAACCAATTTCCCACCAAGGAGAGGCGCTATACCCGAAGATGTCAAACCAAAACAAACCTAATCTAACCTGACCTCATAGGCGTAGGAACAGGGGGCGGGGGCCGGGGGGCCATGGCCCCCCCCCACCTTTCAGCCATTTTTGAAAGTAAAATCTTTATTTTTAATTTAAATACAAAACTAAGAGGAGGAAATGGTTCGGCAAGGTGAGATGAGCACAAAACTGCAAAGAATTTCATCATAGGGGTATTGGGGCTCCCACAAAGTGACATTGAAGTTTCGCTGCCCCCCCCCCCCCCCCACTTTTCGTGAGGTTCCTAGTTCCTACACCCATGCCTGACCTAACCTTACCTACAACCTACAATCTAAAACCTACAGTGCCTCTCCTTGGTTGAAAAACCTTTGTGTGATGTCTGCTCTACTAATGCCCAGCACATCTAAGAATATGGGTAAATATTTACTTTAGGTCCGCAATATTATTTTAACAAGAGAAAATGCACATTCTTACACTATTTGATGTCCTGAATTCAGATATGATGCTTAAATGCATCAAAAATGTAAAATAAGATACTAAAACCCCAGCACATTACACCGCACTGCTGCACAATATACACTGAAGAAAGCACGCTTCCGCGACAAAAACGAAACATACAACGCTGCCCTATCAAAGAAAAAAATGATGCGGATATTCATTAGTTTTCGACGTTATGAAAATGACGTCATAATACCAAGGCACAAGAAAAACGGTGAATAAAAAAGAGAAAATATTTAGCAAAGGTAATAGAGCATGAGAAAATGATCAGAACATAACCAAACCTTACCTAACCTGACCTACTGATGTTTGCCTACTGGGGGAAAAGGAAAAAGTGACTTGCATGAATAGATTGCAAGCAATGGTAAGTCAAATATTTTTAGGTTAAGTGGTTATGCATCAGGCTTCAGGCCTTCGGCCTGAAGCCAGATACACAACCACTTAACCTAAAAATATTTGACTTACCATTGCCTGTAATCTCTCCTAAGGCATTGCCTTCGGCACTGCACCGCTCCGCCTCTATTATTTTGACGTCACTTTCCTTACAATTTATTATCATCCGTAATTTCGCTCAACCTTGGTTGGACCATTTGTAGCGGGTGCGCCGCGCAGACGGTCTTTTGACACGTGCAGTTCCGGTCGGAGGTGGGGCCGTTGGTGGTGATACTGATGATACTAGTGTACTGGTGCTTTTAAATTGGTTTCTAGAAGGAATAAGTATCAGAAATGAAATCAGGAGGTCTTAGAGTATCGTGTGAATGACTTTTATTTACCCCTCTGTTTTGCGGACCTAAAGTAAATAAATACCAGAATATGTGCATTTAACATGAAAATAAGCACTTGAAGGTAACTTCGCCCGGGGTAACTTTAATCACAGCTGTTTTTTAAAGAAATTTTAGAAGAACCCACCTTTTCTCAACCATTCCAAGAACTCATCGTGGCTTCCCAATACAATCAGTTTCTCCCACACCTTGGCCTTGCCTCTTCCAGACTTCCGTGGCAGGTCTGCTGGTGTGCCAGGTCCACTGTTCACAATACTACGGCTTGCACCTGAACCCTCATCTTGAAAAGCATCGTCGCTGTCAATGTTCTCCATATCTGCCTTAAATCGGTGAAAAGAGTCCGGAAAAATCACGCCAAGTTCGCTCACAACTCGCTCACAACCCCACTAACAATGCCGTATAACCCACTGAATCGCGCGACAAAACAAATGCGCCCTTTTATTTGGCGCATTCAAACTGTTGCCAGTTTTAATACCAGAAAAAAGACGATGTACTTGGGATATTCCACTAGCATGCTCGTTAAACAAACTAACGCGTAAGAAGGAAAACTAGATTTAGGGCAAAATGAACTATATTTACTACATAATGACCATAATTTAGAGCGCTTGGAACTAAATTGGTGCTTAAAGTACTTAAACAAGGTATCATATTTGAAATAGTGCGAATGTCCTGATTTTACTAAAAAAAAAAACGTAAATAGAGCAAAATTACAAAAATAGTGCGATATGAACCTTTTTTAGTTCTTGAATAATTACCAGCCATTTCGTAAACATAACGGGTTCGTGTGCCAGTTTTAGAAGGCATGCTCAAGGGATGAGGTGAATGTGTCTCGCTCTGAAACACCATGGGAAGATATTGTGGTGATTGCCCAATATCACCCACACTGCCAAGGTCGTGATGAACCAATGCTGTGAGTAGTAAACCTTTGACTGAATATTGATTATTGTTATGGCGCGGTTGAACGGTTTTGCTGCTGAGCTTGGGACTTGGGAGTTGGGAGACATGGATTTGTATCAGTATGGTCTAACTCTACCCACTGAGTCTTAGTGTGTTTTAAATAACATTTCTTCCTTGATGTTTAAAGTGGCACTACTACTATTTGTTTTTGTTACAGGTCCTTATTCTTTGAATGAATAAGGTGCCTGGTATTGGATCGTAGAGCAAAAGGCACCGCTTTGGCTTGTCAAAATGGCACCCAGGGAAGAAGACACAGTGAATGAAAATGGAAGCATAAAATCCTTTGCTGGCCTAGCAAAGCATGATACTGTTTGTGATGCAGAGGGCTTGGAGCTGAAAGAGTGAGTATCACTGGTAACCTTTTTCAAGCTGTGGTATTTCTAATTTTGAGCTAATTTAATAGAATTTTGAGGACCATCATGTAATGGACTTGAAACTCTGTCTGTGTCATTAATTCTATCTGATGCAGGGATACATACATATTTGTCTGTGATGCATGTTGACTGGCATATAATATGCCAGTGTCATGTGTGAGTGATACAACATTCCTGCTGGCTAACCTTTTCTACTAATTTTCAGGATAAGTAAAAGTCCAAAAAATGATGCACCCCCACCAGTGGCATACTGGCAACTGGTAAGATAGATACCTTTTATTATTTTAACATAAACTGCAGAAATATGTGTTTATGAAGCTATGAACTATGAACCTTAATTTACAAAATGTAAATTGAAATGAAGGCGTTCTAATGCTTTTTATTCTTTGACATGCCGTGTTTAACAACAGCAACTCCCAAAGATTTTCATTGTTTGTCATTCATCATTTCAATAATGTGACCATGGCTGTCAGTTCTAACACGTGTCCATGAAAATGTGATGCTAATAGCACCCAGCATCACTATTCATTAGTTAGTGGTAGTAAAAAGTCCCTGCATTGACGGCTCATGTTCTGTCCCCCCTAGCATATCACTTTACCCTGTAATCTTCCATCGCCAGTTTCGGTACGCTGACCGCACCGACCGCGCGCTGGTGGCGGGCGGTCTGGTGTGTGCCGTCCTCTCGTCGATCTGTCTGCCAGCCATGGTGGTTCTACTCGGCCTTCTCACGAACGCGTTTGTCGGCTTCCACGCGGCGGCGGCGCTAAACGACACGGCACCGGAGGCCCTTTCCAACCGCACGGTGTTAGTAGAGATACTCAGAGTGGGTGTGGAAGAGAATCCCGGGCTGACACTCCCCCCGATGACATTTCACTTTTCTCGGGATTCATCCCACCTTTCAATTAAACCACTATCAGCTCAATGCTCGTCGTCAGTCGTGTCCTTGGAGACTGGAGAGCCGTTCGGTTTCGTCTAAAGTGCGTTCATACCCGATTCGTTTATCATTTTTTTCTGTGTTTTTTAATCACCCTAACCCATTCGTCTGTATCAGAGTGTGTATCTGACCCACTCGCTTCCCCTACCCGATTTCGCTCTGACCCTCCCACCGTATCTGACTGACTGCCTGGCCGGCCAGGTCCCGTCCGCTGGAGCTGCTGGTGCCGGACGGCGCCGCGCCGGAGACGTTCTCCCAGCACGTGTGGGTGTTTCTGGTCGGCAGCTGCGTGGCCGGCTCATTACAGGCGACCTTCGGGGCCCTGTTCGTGTTCTGCCTGGACTTTTCGTCGGCCAGACAAGTAAGTCGATGGAGGGTGGTGGTGTCAATAAGTTTATTCAGCGTTAGATGCCTGTGTCTTGTCATTCTGCTTCACGTGGCTATGCAATTGAATTGGTTAGCAAGATCAGTGGAGCTATAGATAGAAGTCACGCAAATCTGAATAGATTTAAGTGGCATTCACCAGTTGGCGCCAGAGCCCGTGTTATGCTAGAAAGCTGTGTGATGACGGGCTGTCGTTCTTTCAATGCGTGATAATGCACTTAGGGTCGCTGACAGTCCTTCGATACTGTCTCCGACCCGTCCCCGCTCCGCCCTTGACCAATTCCGTCCGCCCATCCTCAGGTGAAGCGGATCCGAGGGCTGTTCCTGCAGGCAGTACTGAGACAGGAGATCAGCTGGTTCGAGACTAACGGCGCCGGAGACTTCGCCACCAGGGCTACAGAGTGAGTGCAGATGACCCAGTCGGTGGCGGAAATCGTATCGTTCAATTTGTACAGTCTCTAGAACTTTGGACAATGCCTTCCATAAAAAGTTTGATTTTTAAGGATCAATTTTAGTGTGATGTGACACATAAGTTTGCATGATAGTCGTAGAAATTAGCAACAAGTTGGTGTGCTGAATGTTGAGTAACATTGCTAACAGTAACAACCCTTATAATGCTTCATGCAGCTAAGTGCCAACAACATGATCATGATCGAGTTACAACTTGCTCCACTGGTCTGTCCTAACGAACGACCCCTCCTCCGTCCTTCCGACAGAGACCTGGCCAAGGTGCAGGCGGGCATTGACGACAAGCTGGGCATCTTTGTGTTCATGGTGTCGGTGTTCGTCATCTCGATGTGTAACGCCTTCTACCACGGCTGGAGGCTGACGCTGGTCATCCTGACGGCCGTACCCGTCCTGGTGGCCATACTGGCCGCCATCGCAAAGGTACGGACGGCATGTGGGGGAATAGGTGTCGCTGGGCTGACATGTATTTGAGATTGGGGTAAGCAGTTGTAGTGATGTGAAATCGGCAGTGGATGTTGCCGCTGTTTGGTTAGCGATTCAGTTGCGTAAACCGCTATTCATGTTTTATAACATGCGAATCGATTATATACATACGAACTAAAATTAACGTGAATTTTACCTCAACTTGATCGTAAAAGCGATCGTGAGTTGAAATGCTGAGATACAAGATAACTCAACGGCGGCTGAGAGTTATAACCTAATATGAGCGATAGGAAACGACGAAAAGACTGCATAATTATATCGTTGTATAAAACGTGCTGATAAAAACCTCAACAACTATCAGTTTGTCTCATTTTTTCGTCATCCGCCCATCCACTCACCAGCTTACCAACCCACCCCCTCCCTAACCCGATGTGACCCCCTCCCCCTGTTTTACCGTCCAGGCCCAGTCGACGCTGATGCAGCGGGCGACGGCCGGCTACAGCCGAGCGGGAGACGTGGCCGCCGAGATCATATCGGCCATCCGCACAGTGGTGGCCTTCGGTGGACAGCAAAAGGAGGTGGACAGGTGAGGAATGACGGAGGACTAGATACGTGGAATGGTGAGATAACAGTGGAAGTGCTAATGTGGTCAGTGGTCGACATATTGGATTGTTATGTCTTGCATGTAATCTCTGTCCTTTGATTTCGGACCTGTAGGTACTCTGGTTGTCTGCTGGCCGCCCGCCGCTGGTGGCTCTAACCTCTGTGACCTGACCTTTGACCTGTGACCTGCAGGTACTCTGGGTGTCTGCTGGCCGCCCGCCGCTGGTGGCTGTGACCTCTGACCTATGATCTGTGACCTGTGCCCCGTAGGTACTCTGGGTGTCTGCTGGCCGCGCGCCGCTGGTGTGACCTCTGACCTGTGACCTGTGACCTGTAGGTACTCTGGGTGTCTTCTGGCCACCCGCCGCTGGTGGCTGTGACCTCTGACCTCTGACCTATGACCTGTGACCTGTGACCTGTGACCTGTAGGTACTCTGGGTGTCTTCTGGCCGCCTGCCGCTGGTGGCTGTGACCTCTGACCTATGACCTGTGACCTGTGACCTGTAGGTACTTTGGGTGCCTGCTGGCCGCCCTCCGCTGGTGTGACCTCTGACCTATGACCTGTGACCTGTGACCTGTAGGTACTCTGGGTGTCTGCTGGCCGCCCGCCGCTGGTGGCTGCTGAACTCTGCGCTGACGGGCCTCGGTGCCGGTCTGGCCTGGTGTGTGGTGTTCGCCTGCTACTCGCTGGCGTTCTGGTACGGCACGGCCCTGGTACTGGACGGCGAGTACGACCCCGCGTCGCTGACCATAGTGAGTACGACACTGACTGTACGGCACGGCCCTGATACTGGACGGGGAGTACGACCCCGCGTCGCTGACCATAGTGAGTACGACACCGACTGTACGGCACGGTCCTGATACTGGACGGGGAGTACGACCCCGCGTCGCTGACAATAGTGAGTACGACACTGACTGTACGACACGGTCCTGATACTGGACGGGGAGTACGACCCCGCCTCGCTGACCATAGTGAGTAATGGGCTCCGTTTCATAAAGCGAGTCCGTAACTTACGCCGGTTTTTGGTCTTGTGTTGCAAGTGCATGTGAAGCGATGACGATAGTTTGAATCGTTGAATTTATTTATCTTGCAAGCAAGAACAGAAGAGAGAAGGGGAAATAAATTTATCGCTTTACATGCGCTTGCAATACAAGCCCAAAAACCGGCGTAATTTACGGACTCGCTTTATGAAACGAGGCCCTGGACACCGATTACGACAATAGTGAGTGCTGAGTATGACACCGCATGTACGACACTGCCATGGTACTGGATGGGGAGTTATACGACCCCGCCCAGACCATAATGAGTACTGGGTACGACAGCGACTGTACGACACCGCCCAGGTAATACGACCCCGCCCTGACCATAGTGACTAGTGAGTACTGGGTACGACCGTCGACCATAGTGAGTACGTGGCACGACGCCGACTGTACGACTC